GCCATGATAGTTTCAAGGAGCAGAGGTTTAATTTGGCTAATGGTTTCAGGGGCTGAGTCCATGGTCAGCTGGTTCCAAGTCAGGAATATCCTGGCAGAACAACAGCAGGAGACCCAGAGAGAGCTGAAGGGGCTGGGGACAGGGGTATATCCCCCAAAGCCATGCTACTAGTGACCTACTTCCTCCAAAGGGGCACCTGTTAATAACCCATTCAGCTATGAACTTATCAGTGGGCTAATCCATGGATGAGGTCAGTACCCTCATGACCCGGTGACTGCCTCTCTGGGGTCCACCTGTGAACACTGCTGCATTTTCAATGCATGAGTCTTTGGGGGACACTTCATATTGAAGCTATACAATGTGTTAGGCAGAATTGAGGGGGTGCTACGATTTGGATATATTTTGAGTGATTCCCCCAAGGATTTGTGTGTTGAAACTTGGGTACCAGGGCTGGAGATTTAGCACAGTGGCACAGCTCCTGCCTGGCAAGCGTGAGGTCATGAGCTTGATTCCTGGTAGCAGGGAAAAAAAAAGACTAAAAAAAAGAAAGCTTTAGTATTTAAAAAAAAATAGAAAGAAAGAAACTTGGGTACCGAGTGTGGCAGTGATAGAATTTTTTTTTGTTGTTGTTGTTTTTCCAGTACCGGGAATTGAACTCATGACCTTGTGCTTGCCAGGCTGGCGCTGTGCCACTGAGCTAAATCCCCAGCCCCAGTGATAGAATCTTTAAGAGGCAGGGCCTAATCGGAAGTACATAGGTTGTTGAAAGAGCTGTCCTTGGAAGAACTGATGCAGTTCTTGTAGGATCTTGGTGATCTCGTGAGCTCTCATGAGAATTGTTGTAAGGGCAAAGCTGACCCTTCCCTCACGTCTGGCTTCCATCTTGCCATTCATATTCTCTGTCTCTCTCTCTCTCTCTTTCTCTCTCCCACTCTCTCTCTGCCATGATGCCATTTTCTGTACAGTCCCTGCCAAAGCTGATGCTCAGCTGTTTGCACTTTCAGCCTCCAAAACTGTGAACTAATTAAACCTCTTTTTAATAAAGTACTTGGCCTCAGGTATTTAGTTATAGTAACAGCAAATAGTACTAAAGATGGGAGAAGGTGCAGGGACCTTCTGTGGGGAATGTGCTCTGTGGGGAATCATCTTAGCTACTAATTTTTTCAAGCCCTGATTTTTATGTCAGACTCATGGAAATATTTTCATGTATTTGCTCAGTAAATGTGCTATGATATGGGTTTTAGTCAGGACACTGGTGACAAGTAATAGAGACTCAGACTTTCTTAAGCAATAAAAGACTTTATTGGCTATTTTTTAACCTCCTTAATTCCTCCATGAACCGAAGCCTTGGGGCTGCTTCTGCCCCTCTCTCCCTGCCCCTCTGCCAGTGAATCAGCCCCAGTCTCCAGGGTGCCCCCTTAAGGGCAAGAACATGGCTGCAAGCATCCCAGTAACTTGCCCTCCAAGAAGATGCCCAGCTTGGACCAAACCCAGGGCATATGGTGCTATGGCCGGAGACTCCGTGCTGGCGGGACCGCAGCGACAGGCTCCTGTTGCTCAGGCCTTGACGCCTCCCCTGGGCTGCCCTGGGGTCATGGGAGGCCCAGGCGTCTGTCCTCTTCTCTGCTGCCTGCCAGTCTCTGAGGATGGGAGGACCCGTGTCACAGGAAACAGGACTCCTGGCAGCTACCCTGGTTTGAAAGCGCGCGGGGTGCCTCGCCACCACCAGGTCAGGTGCCTCCTAGTGGTGAGTCCAGCCGACGGAACTGAGCAGGATGAAACAGTGACCCGGGTCCGAGGCTCCCAGCTGTGACCTGAGATCCTCTCTGAACGTCGTCGCTAGCATCTGAGTTTCACTCTGCAGGCCTGTAAGATGGGGCGCTCACACCTAGTACGCTGGGGTGTGGCGGCGGGATCCACGGATCTTTCGTATCAGCATCCACACGGTACTAGGCGCGCAGAAGCTTCGGGGAGGTCCTTCGCTCCTTCTCTCTGTGACCGGCATCCAAAACCTCTGCTGTCCCCGCCACAGCTCCCTGGCTCGGCCACGGGGACACTCACCTGCCTGACTCCCGACCGCCACCTCGTGGCCTATTGGGTGATTGCGGGAGGAGTGGTGAAATTCAAACCAACTTCTGGTCTGTCGTAGGGATTTAATAGCAAAGCACCCGATGTTGGGTAGGGAGTGAGGAGTGAAAGCCGGGCGCTACCTATGCAAAACTGCTTTGCCGCACAGGCGAGCTGTGCCAGGGGGCCCCTGCTACCCGTCCTTCCCTGCCACATTCTGTGCTAAGAAAGTTCTGTACATCACGGTTGCTGATCAGTTTTCTAACTGAGGAAAGTAGGAGTTCTTGGACCTGGCTGGCCACAGCAATGGCTCCAAGGAATTGAAAATTCCTTTTTCTTTACCTAGGGAGTGAGTACAGGGTTTTTTATTTTCTTTCTTTCTTTCTTTCTTTTTTTCCCCCCCTACTGGGGATTTGAACCCAGGGACTTCACACTAAGCTCTATCCCAAACCTTAATTTTTAAAAAGATTTTTTTCAGAGACAGAGTCTCACTAGGTCTCTAAATTGCCCAGGCTGGGCTTGAATTTGTGATCCTCCTGCCTCAGCCTCCCAGAGTGCTGGGATAACAGGTGTGTACCTCCCTGCCTGCCTAAGGGTTTTGTTTTATTACTCCTCTTCAGGTCATAAATATGTGCACTGGAGAATACATATACTCCCTTGCACTGCCCTGGCTTTCTCAGGGCTGAATGGGGGGTGGGATGAGCCAGGCCTCTCTCCCTGCCTGCCTCTGGCAAGCTTCGCATGGGCACTGCACCCCGGGACAGGTCACCTCCCGCATCTCTGAGTTTTTACCTCCAAACTCAGCTGTCTTCGGCCTCCTGCCCCTGCCCCTCTGCATTGGTCCTCTTCATGTCCCCTCTGCTGGGTGACCTTAAGGTCGCAGCTCACCCTGCCTCGCCCATCTGTGGAAGCTCAGCCCCCAAGCTTCCTCCTCCAGGGGTCCTTCTGTGATTTCCAGTGCTGAGCCCTTTACGGCATTTGCGGAACGCCTCGCATTCTGCCCAGGTGCGCCTGGGTCCCGGGATGACAGGAAGGGGGTGAGCGACCAGGGACTGTCCCTGCTCTCCAGACAGCAGCAGGGGGTGCTCGAAGGTCGAAGCCAGGAGCAGAGTTTGTGTGTTCATCAGTGCTGCGGCCAAGGTCTGCCCGCACAGACTCTGGGGACACGCAGAGGACAAACCTGCCCCAGAATGGGGGGCTCTGAGAAGCGCCTTCCTCACCAGCCCTCTTCATCCCAGGATGAGAGCCTGAATCTCCTCCCATCCTGTGCTTCACCTGGGGGGGGGGGCAGGCGATGGGGAGAGACAGGCTAGCACAGCCCTCCCCCTGCATTTTTGTTTGTTTGTTTGTTCTTTTTCCGGTACCGGGAATTGAACTCACGACCTTGTGCTTGCCAGGCAGGCGCTGTACCGCTGAGCTAAATCCCTAGGCCCCACCCCACCCCGCATTTTTAACTGACAGGGTTTTAAACGGCCGCCATAGGCAAGAGAGTTGGCAGCACAGGAGCCCAGGCCTGGGCCTTGGATGGTAAGACCCAGTTTATCTGGCCCCTGTGCGGTGCAGTCTGGGCTGAGCCGCTCTGCAGTACCATCTGAAGAAAGTGGGAGAGTTTCCCCGTCCCTGGGTCCCTGGGCCTCACCTTGGAGGGCCAGCTACAGGGCCAAGAGTGTGGGCTGGGGGGACAGCCCTGGGTGGTGGCAAAACCTCACTTGCAACCCTGGCTCTGCTACCTTTGTTACATTGTTACATTGAGCTGGTCACTTCCTCCTCTAAACCTCATTTTCCCTTCAGAAACATGGGGTTCTGCCTCTCAGGGTTGTTGGGTGCCAATGAGGAAACGCCCTGGAGTCCCAGATCACAGACTGACCAGGGAGCCCTCCAGAGGCTGCAGGTTCAAGCCTGCCCCTAGGGGGCGCTGGTGTCCCAGGCCCGGGTAGAGATGCTAAAGGGGCAGCGGGGAGACCCCAGCCACAGGAGTGGGGGAGGCTGGGAAGGGGCAGCACAGGGGTGGAGGAGGGGAGAACATAAGGTGTGGACAGGCAGCCTCGAGGACACACTGACATGCAGACACACACGGGAACGTACACAGACAGTCCTGAAGGGACTTGGAGAAGCAAATTCTCCACCCCTTCACCAGCTCCCCCGGGTCCCACAGCTGCGCTCCGTGTGGAGGCCCTGGGACCGCTCAGGGCTCCACTCGGCATCTTCACCCGCCTGTGCTCAGTCCCGGGTGAGCTCTACCACCCTCCTCACAGCTGCGGTCAGCTCTCACTTCGGTGGCCCAGATGGCCTCCCCGCCTCCATCTAGCGGGCCTGAGCCAATCTGATCTGTTCTCTACACAGTGACAAAACCCCAATGGCCTGGCCCCCCAAAAGCTACTCTTTCAGAGCAGGAAACTCGCCAGACTCACTTCCTCTGAGGTTTCCTACAAGCCCGGGGCACCCCCGACATCCTCCCCACACCTGCTCCCCACAAGACCAGGTAACTTCAGATGTCAGCTTCAAACACAGCCTCTTCCAGGAAGCCCTCGGTGATGCTCCGGGAACCCTTGTAACAGGGTGCCACTGTAGCTCAACTGCGCTCACGTTGTACTATTGCCCTTAGGCTGGGCTATCAGTTCCTGATTCTCAGGGATCGAATGCAGTCTGGGGACACTTAGGGACTGCTCACCAGTACTGCTGAATGCATAAAGAACGCATGAATGTTGGCGAATGGGGTGTGAAATAAAGACGGGGTGAACGCTCTGCTCTTCAGGCTGGAGGCGTCTGGGGCCGGGAAAGGACCGGGCCAGGAGGGAATGAGGACGACGGGACCCCACCCCCACCCCTCCTCCTCGACCTGCTGTCCCCGGTGGCCACCAAGGACTCTGCTGGCGTCGCAGGCAGGACCGGCTCGGCCCCCGCCCCCAAGGAGACGCAGCGCAGGCGCGTACAGGTTGGTTTATTTACAAATATACCGACGTCTCGTCTTTGCTTGTTGCTGCTTCCGTTTTCTGCTCTTGTGGGAAGAGGCGGAGGTGAGAGCGGAAGGCAGGGTGAGAGTGGTAAACGCTAATAAATAATTTAACAATGACAAGTTATTAAATAAAATGTGTGTGGGGATGGCGGGCGGCAGTGCGAGTCTGTACAAGGGAAGCGGAGGAGGGTCGGGGCCGGGTCCCCCGCCCACCGCGCTGCGCTGTTTGGTGATGTCACCTTCCCCGGGTCAGCACGTTGGCGGGTCCTTTCTGCTCCCCCGGCCCCAAGTGCCTGTGAGTGTGGGTCCGGGAGCCTCCAGGTGCGGCGGGTGTGAGTGTGTGTGTGCGTGCGTGTGTGTGCACGGGAAGCTCCTTCCATGCTAGGCAGTCAGGTGTGGTCCCCTCCTCCTAAGGCTCCGCCGGCCCCTTGATCTGACCCTCAGGACCACACGGTCCCTGTCCCTGCGGCCGCAGTGAGGTCCTGGGACTGCAGAGCCCCTGGCAGGCCAAGCCTGGCTTCCTGTCCTTCCTCTGCCCTTCCTCTGTCTCTCCTCAACGGCCCCAGCAGGGAGATGGAGCTGGCTTTTCTGCACAACTCCCCAACCCATCTCTCTCCTTCACCTTCTTCCCCCGGGCTCCGCCCCAGCCCCACAGTAGCTGGGCGGCCCTCATCAGGGCAGTCATGGGGTGATCCTGGCACCTCCCGCACTTCCTCCAGGAAGTGGGGAACCTGTGCTCACCCCCAGCCCCACATAGCCTCCCTTCCCTGAGCCTCAGGCTCCATACCTGAGAAATGGGTCTCTAACAACATCTGGCCAGGACTGGGACAGAGCTTTGGCCTCTCCTAGGAGAGCAGCGTTGTCTTGCTGGGCTGTGTCCCCACTCCCTGCCGGGCCTAGGAACATGGCTAATGGGCGCCTCTGGAATGGGGGCTCTCTGAGGTCCCCGTGGCTCTAACAACCCGAAGGTCACAGCCAGGGTGTCCCAATACCAGCTCCTGGCTGGTGCCCCTGCATGGAGGCAGGAGAGGCCAGGGCTGCGCTTGGGTTTTGTTAGGACCTAAAAGGGAGGAGGAGGGGCTGGGGTGGCACCCTGGTCTCACACCAGCCCCGCCCCTAACCTGCCATCTCCCAGCTTGGGTCTCCCAGCTGTGGGACCTGCAGGGCCAGGCCTCCTGGGGGCTGGGGTGTCTGCCCTTGGGTCTGTCCCACGTCCCCAGCACAAGTCAGCGTGAGCCTGTGCTAAAGGAGAAAGGGGAGGCTCTCAAGACACGGGTGTGGCCGCCTGAGGCCCAGGTCTGGCCCAGAGGACAGCGGACACCAGCTGAAGCCCTTGGCCACATTCTCTGTGTGAAAAGAGGAGCCCAGGAGGGCCTGGCTGGCTGCTGGGGCCATATCCTCCTCTCTGATGACTCTGGTGGCGAGCAGGGTGGGGTGTGAGCATGGGACCGGGACCAGTGTAGGTGGCACAGGCTGCCCTGGGGGAGGAGCCAAGCCTAGCCACAAGCGAGGCTCCCACGTGGGCAGATATTCATCACCTGCAAGTGCTCAAAGGCCGGGCCCAGCAGACTCAAGGCTGTGGAAGTCAAAGGCAGGGTCACAAGCACCCAGACAGGGCACAGCGATTAGCGGGAGCGGTGTGGGGGAGCTGGGACAGGCTGCCAGCTGTGCTCGCTTCCTCTCTTGGTGGGGGGGAGAATGGAGGAGCCAAGCTGGGATGGACAGCGCCCGCAGCCCTTGTGGGCCGGGGAGGCAGAGATGCCTGGGAGTCCACAGGCCAAGGCCAACGCCAGGCAGTGAGAGGCTCCCACAGCCCCACGCCTCAGGACAGACAAGCCCCGGCTCCTCACCTGAAGCGCTTGGGAGGGAGGACCAGTGGTCACAGAGCTGGGGCCACAGGCTGATGGAATCAAGTAAGGAAATCCAACGAGAAACAAGCCACTGTCCTTCCCTCCCCCCTTACCTACACACAAAAAGGAGTTGTAGCACAGCTGTCATTTGGTTCCTAGTCCTAGGGAGCTCGTCACAGAAGGGCAGAGTAAATTTCCAAGGTCGCGTGGCCCAAACCACTTAGTGGATCTCCGGCCACATTAACAGAGGCAGGGTGCCTAAAGCAGAGGTGACTGGCCTGCTCTTTGTGGGCTGGCTACGTCAGTGGGAAAATCAGGTTATAGCTGCCACATGTCTTTAGAGAGGAAGCTGGAACCCAGCCAGGGATACGATTTCTGGAAGAAGAGCTGGAGAGCTGGGGAAGCCTGGCTTTGAGAAGCGAGGGCCGAGGGCGCCGCTGACCCGGGGCGCGCTCAGGCAGTGAGTGCCCTGTCAGCGGAGGCCGTGAGGAGAAACAGGGGCGGCTCTGAGGGCGCCCAGGGGCTGACTCTCGAAGTCCTTTCCTACCTGGAGGTTCTGCTGTCTTCCTGATTCTGCTATTTCCGGGGCTCCACCTCTGTCCTGGAAGCCGGAGGTCTGGGGCTGCCCTGCCGTCCAGGCGGCTCCAGCTGGGCCGTGGCCAGGACCCACCTGCGTCCATGTGCTTCCCACGTACCCTGCTGTCCCCGTCTTCCCGCTCCAGCTGCCCTCCAGCCTCTGCTCGCCTTCCTGACATGGTCGGGTGGTCACGGCACCCTCTGCCTCCCTCAGCTCTGGACATACGTGTGCGCGCGCGTGGTGTGTGTGTGCGTGCACGTGTTGCACGCGTCTGCGTGGGGGGCTGCAGGCGTGCGTGCGTGTGTGCGTCTGTCCCCGTGGGCCTGTCTGGGATCTGTTCACTCCCCTCCACTTCGGGCAGAGCCCTGGTGGCCTGGCCCTTCTGCCCGGCTCCTCCCCACCTCTGCTCCGCGCTCGGGCTGGGAGGGCAGGCGACCCCGGGCTCCCCAGAGCGGGACGTGGGCACCGGCACAGGGCACCGGGACGCATGCTCCTCGCATCCGAGGCACCGAGCCCGGTCACTGTCGTGGGCTGGCACCAGGGACCATGGAGGTTGGCTGGACACAGAGAGGACATTTAAAAAAATAGAGAGAATTTAAGCTTCCCAAAAAAGAGATGGGGAGGGAGAAGGAGGCAACGGCATCGAGGTGGGGGTGGGGGCCGGGTGGCTGTCCGAGAGCTCTGGGTCCCAGGGAGACAAGGTCTCTGTGGGCAGGACACAGCCCCTGCCCAGGCTGCGCCCATCTGCCTTTCTGGCTAGGCCGGCCAGGCACACAAGCAGGCCCGGCCGGCCGAGGGGAGGGCACCATATGGCTGTCTGCAGAGTCTGTGTGGGCGGCGGGCCAGAGGGGCGAGGAGGCTGCGGAGCCCCAAGTCCCAGCCCAGGCCGTGCCCCAGCGTCCGTGCAGCCCGGCTGCTCTCAGGAGGCGAAGTAGGAACTCTGCATGGAGTAGAGCCGGTCGATGGGGTTCCCCACGCGGGCCTGCAGGGAGCCCACATCTGAGGAGCCGAGGAAGCAGTCGCTGAGGCTGGTGAGGGAGGTATCGCTGTCGATGTCGTGGAAGATGGAGTCGTTCCCTGGGGGGCAGAAGGGGCGTCAGGCCTGGGCTACGAGCTGGGGCTCCCGAGGATGGCCCAGGGCCAGTGACAAGCAGGAGCGGGACCTACTTGGGCCCTGGGGCAGCGGGTGGCTGTAGGTGCCCCAGAGCCGCCAGGCCAGGCAGGGGTGGGGCGGGGCTGGCAGTGAGGGGCAGGCGGCTTACCATAGGGGTTCATGTGGTCACCTGGCATTTGGGGCGGCGTGAGGCCCTGCTGGAAGGGGTCGCTGCTGCCGTAAGGACTCTGCTCCATGGCTACGATCTGCTGCTGCGGCGGGGCCAGCGGCGTGTACGAGGCCATCATGCCCTCCATCCGGCTGGACAGAACCTCTGGGGACAGCGCGCACTTTCACCAAATGGCCTGCCTGCCCCATCCTGGCCGTCCCCACAGAAGTCTCCCAAGGACGGGGATCCCTTGTCACCTTCTAGGGGGTGCCCAGGGACCCCTGTCTGGCCAGGTGGCCCAGATATCCCACTCCTTCCCCAGACAGTCTCTCCAGCTCTTCTCCCAGATCAGTTTCCCCAAAGCCAGGGAGGCTCCCCCTCCGCCCCGCCCCCTCAGGAACTGGGGGAGCCAGACATCTTGGCAGGCAGGGAAGCTGGGCACACAGCACAGAATGCCCGACACCCAGGAGAGCCCAGGTGAGGCCAAACCCATGCCAAAGAGGCCCAAGAAGGCTTCCTGGAGGAGGGAGCCCCAGTCCAGTGTGACCTAAGGAGCCATTGGAAAGAGCGGCAGCAGGCTGGGGAGAGGGAATCTGTCAGACGGGATCGGAAAGTCCAGCTGGGGACCCACAGTGTGGGGAGGAGCAGTTTGGGGAAGGTCTGTGTCAAGGTCGTTTTAAGGAGCAGGCACTAAAGGATGCAAGGCACGAAACCATGCCCCGGCTGGCGGCAGAGTAGGTGCAGCCGGGGTGCGAGAGGAGGGGGCACAGGTGCCACGGGCACGCAGGCAGTGACACGGAGCAGTGTGGGCACTGAGGAACTCTGGGGCAGGGGCGTTCTCTGTGGCCGTGTCTGGGGCAGTGGGGACGCTGGAAGGCAGCTCTGAGGCTGGCTGGGGCATGAGACGGTGACTGTAGCCCCAGGAGGGGCACAGGGACATGACAGAAGCGCAGGGCTCCCGGGCCACGTCCTTAGGAGCCAGGGCCCGCCTGGGACGCTGGCCTGGTCCCAGAGTCCTGGGAAGGGCTACACTCGCATTTCCCCGGGGCATTTCCCTTTCATGGGAGGCAGGGCAGGCAGCTCCTGCCCACTTCAGGGTCCCGAGATCCCCTGCATCCTCCCTTCACAGCCTTGAAGGCTCAGCATCCCAGGTGCCTGGAGAACAGTGCTGGCCAAAGCCGGGCATGGTGGCTCACGCCTGTCATCGCAGCACTCGGGAGGCTGAGGCAGGAGGATCGTTGTGAGTTTGAGACCAGCCTGGGCTACAAAGTGAGCTCAGTGTCAGCCTGAACTGCATAGCAAGACCCTGTCTCAAAAAGACAAAAAAAAAAAAAACCAGTGCTGGCCAGAGACTCAGATGTGGGAAAAGCATCTGGGCAAAGCAAAAGTTGCAGGGAGGGGCCAGCCCATCCTCTCCCTCCCTGAGCTGCTTCCCACGCTGACCCACTGTCCCCTCAGGGACACAGGCAAGCGGCAGGGCAGCGTCATCCTGCTAAAGTGCACGCTGTAAACCCCATTCTGAGGGCTGGAGCCGGGCTTCGTCCCTGCCAGCTGAGCAACCCCTTATCTCCAGGGGCCTCAGCTCCCCAAGCTGAGACGGAGGGCGACCATCCCCTGCCGGGCCATTCTCTTCCGGTGGGATTCGTGGGAACTGAGTCAGACAGAGTGCAGGAGATGTGAACACTGCCCAGCCCATCGGGCAGGGATAGGGAGCAGGGCAGAGATTCCGCCTTTCGGGCCCCGTGGGCCACCTCGCCATCCCATTCCCCATTTCCTGGGCCCCACCACTTCTCAAGTTTTCTGCATCTCGGCTGCTTCCGAGGAGGAAGCCCCTGGGCTCTGCTCTTGTGGGTCTTGAGAGAGACAGCGGGGCCGGGGGCCTGGCCCTGGCCGAGTCCCTGCCGTGCCTGCTCACCTTGGCCCAGCCGCTGGGAGTTCTGCTGCTCTTGCTGCTGCTGGTGCCGCCTTGCCAGCTTCTTCATCTGCAGGGGGAGCATGGGTCAGACCTCTGTCCCCATCCGTCAGCCTCCACATCAGCACCCGCCTTCCCTTTGTCCCCCAGACCCTCAGCCCTGCCCGGGAGCCTCTCACCTTTGCTCTTTGGTTCTGAAACCAGACCTGGACCACACGCACGCTGAGGCCGGTCTCAGCTGCCAGCGTCTCTCGGACCTGGCCGGGAGAGAGGGGGACAGGTCAGGCCTGCAGGGACCGTAGCTGGGAGGGGCAGCCCCCCGCCCTCAGCCCCTGCCAGAGTCAAGCCGGTGGCACCTAGACAGGCAGCCCCGCCCGCACCCCTCACCTTCCGGCAGGGCTTGGAGGAGACCTCGAAGGAGGCCTTGAAGGCTCTTCTCTGCTGCGTGGTGAGGATGGTCCGGGGCCGCTTGGGCCGCCTCGGGTCCTTCCCGTCGTCCCCGCTGCCCTTGCTCTGGTTGCCCTGCCCCTTAGTCGGCTTCATGTCTCCATCCTCGTCCTCACTCTTCACTGTGGGGGACATGACCCAGCCCGTCAGGGAGGGCTGGGGGGCAAGCCCGGGTCCCAGCTTTGTGCCCTTACAGGATCCCACTGCCCCTGACACCTCTGCAGCTCTCCAGTGCCAGGGAGAATCTGCCCCTTCCGGTGCCCTGGCCTGCAAGCCCCACTCAGCCTGGCCCTTCACCTCCTGCACCCCGAGCCCCACACGTCTGCCCACATACACGCTCCTCCCGTCTCCTCCCGTCCCTGTCGACCACACAGGCGCAGCTCCACAAACGCAGCCCAGGAGCACACGGCATGCGTGCCATCGCACACTTATACACACCCGTCAGGCAGACGCTGGAGCACACCCACACGGGAACAGGTGTGAAGTGCACACGTGCTGTGCCATATGTGGTGTGTGAGGACATGTGTCCAGGGCACACCTGCAGCCGGTGCAGGCCCTGGGCTTCCCCTGACCCTCGTGTCTGGGACACTGCCTGGGACTCCGGCACCTGGAGACCCCAGCACAGTGTGCCAGCCCTGAAGAAAGTTTCCACTGCCCTAGCTCAGTGCCGGGTGTGGGGGAGGGGACCGAAGGAGATGCCGGGATCCTTTCTTCTTGAAGCTTCCAGGGGCTGGGCACTGCAGGTGAAGACAGCTGCTCCAGACATCTGAACACAGCAGCACTCGTGACCAGAGAGTGCGTGCACACACACAGCCGCACACTCACCCACTGGCACACGCACACACAGGCTGGCATGTGGGCCCGCGAAGGCCCAGGCACAGGAGCTCGCAGATATGTTCCCAAACACAGGCACCCAAGGCACACGCTCCTGGGCAGAGACGCACGGGTGTGAGGCATCTGCACAGGGTCACATGCGCGGCCTGAGGAAGCACTGTGTCCACCCTGCGGCACTTCCACTTGGGACTCCCGCCCACTGGGGCCCTCCTCCAAAGCGGTCTCCTCTCCCCAGGCCTGCCGCCCTCAGAGGCGAGCCCCTCAGAGGGGCGTCGCCCTTTCCTAGGCCTGGCAGGAGCAGACAAGAGGAATCCAGGCGTCACGGGACGGACCACGGTGGTGCCCCGCCCAGGGACAGATGGAGGACGATCCACTGCCTCCACCCAGGCCCTGGCAGGGGCAGAGCTTTCCTATGAGAGCAGATTCTAGGACTGTGGGTTCAGGACACCCCACAGGGCAGCCCAGGGCACCTCCCACTATCCCTGCTCAAGCCCAGGAATGGCCAGGAGCCGGCCACCCCCAGACTTTCCCAGAGAATAAGTATGTGTGTGTGTATGTGTGTGCACACCACAGTGCATGTGAGAATGTGCACGAGCATGCACATGCAGCCTATGAGTGTGCAGGCTCTCACGTGTCTGTCCAAGTGTGTGAGTACCTGTGTGTGTGTGTGTCTGAGTGGGGCCTTTGCATGCTTGGGTATGTGAGCGCACATCCGGTCCTGCATGTGCCTGTGTGCGTGCTTATGTAACCCATGCACGTATGTGTACCGGGCTGCGTGTGCCTCAGGGCCAGGCAGGGGTGTGTTCTGAGTGTGGGGCGAGGTACACGCCTGTGCGTGTGGGGATAAGGATGTGTCTGCATGTGGCGTGGGATGTGGCTGTGTGCTGTGGGCTGCTCCGTTCTGTGCTCAGGAGCTGGCTTCTCTGGCTGGGCAGCCCCTCCGAACCCGGCCAAGCCCCGGCTGCAGCCTGCCCGCCCTGCCCGCGCTCACCGGAGTCGGATTCATCGGGGCTCACGGAGCTGAGCAAGTCCTTCTCCTTCTCGTAGTCGCCCTTGCACAGCAGCTGGCCCTCCTTGAGCACAAACTCGTCACCCTTGCGCAGCTGCCGTTCGCACACGCAGCAGCAGAAGCAGCCCAGGTGGTACACACACTCCAGTGCCCGCATCACGAACTCCGTGGGCGCGATCTTCTCCATGCAGCCGCTGCACTTGGCCGCGAAGAGCCTGTGGGCACAAAGCAGGTGCGTTGGCTGGGCCCGGGGGACCTCTCCCCTTGCTGCCCACCCTCCCACCTAAGGGGGACAGACAGGGGAGGGCCCGGGCCTTACTCTGAATCCTGAATCCTAGCCTCACCCCACAGTCTGAACACACCCCTACCTGGTCACTACCCGCAGCCCAGGGATCCCGAACAGAGGGGCCGCTCTGGTGGTCCGCGCGGGGCCCTTCCCGCTCAGAGGCACATGGCCACCAGAGGGCACTGTGCAGGGTCAGCCCGCCCTTCCCGAGGGCCAGGTCGGCTGGGAGAGAGGGTCCTGTCCCATGCCACCTGCTCAGGGGCCTCTGCTCCTCCTCCTCCCACTTCCAAGCGATCCCGGTGCCGGCTAACCTCCAGCCCCGCCCCCTCTTCCCTGCCGGGGCAGCTACCCCAAGCCCCTCGCCTGCCTCCAGCGCCCTCTAGCGCTTCAGCCCTCTGCCACTCTCACCCAACACCGGGTCTCCCTAAAACACTTACCCGATCACATCCTCCATGTCTCCCTAGTGCCCTTAGAAGAACATCCAATCTCCTGACCCTGGCTCTAAAGGTCCCCGAGGATCGTGCCTGTCTCCCCGCCACTCGCCCACCCTCTGCTTCCCAGCTGCAGCCCCACGGAACAGCTGCAGTTTCTTCAAAGCACCATCACGGTGGCCTTTTGACATGTGCCGTCCTTGTGGCTTTTTATTTTTAGTTGTGCAGTATTGGGGATTGAACCCAGGGCCTTCTCACGGAGCAAAACCCCTGCTCTTTATTTTTTAAGACAGGGTCTTGCTAAGTTGCCCAGAAGGGGCTCAAATTTTCGGTCCTCCGCCTCAGCCTCCCAGCGTACTGGGAGGACGGGCCTGTGCCACCACGCCCTGCTGGACGGCGTCTTCTTATCCCTCTTTCAGCGTGGGCACCATCCCTGGGAGCAGGCAGTTTACTGAGCATGCGCAGCAGGGCTGCCGCCGCTGCCAATCTGCTACAACCCTAGGAGACAGTACCGAGCCTTAGCCCCATTTTAGAGACGAGGAAACGGAGGTGCTGGGAGGAGCGTCCATGCTCAGAGCCATGTGGACCCGGTGCAGACCCTCAGGGATCCCCGGGCTGGGACTCGGGCCTCGCGGTGCGTGCAGTCAGGCGGGCAGGGGCCCGGGGGTGGCGCGCAGCCCTGCCTGTGCACGTGCGCGCGCGCGCTGACCGCTCCTCCCGCCGCGCGCCCTCCCAGTCACGCGCCCCGCTCGGTGGGAACTCAGCCTCAACAACGCTTTGATGGAAAAATTTATGAAGAATCAAATTATTGCTGCTGGGAGGGAATTAAAACCATTTTTCATTCTCTGCGTCCCCGGGCCACGTCTGCGGGCGCCACCTTGGGAGCGCTGCGCGCATCCCATCCCTCTTTATGGCCCGCCATCACGGGCGCAGATTACAGCTGCAATTCTCCACTAATCGGTTCTGGAACAAGAATGGCCATAAACGCGAGGCTCTCGGCCTGCCTGCCTTCCCCGGGCTGCCATCAGCACCGCCCACGGTGAGTGGCTGGGGTGCGGTGGACAAAGTTAAGCCTAGCTCTGCCTGCTGCCTGCACTGGCCAGGACACCCAGCTTGAGGGCACCCTCAGTGACCCCAGCCACCTCGATTCTACCTGGCAGGCTCCTACTCATCCTGCAATGCCCAACTCCAATGCCACCTCCTCTAGGAAGCCCTCTCTGATGCCCCAGACTGGGGAAGCCATCTTGAGCTTCTCTCTGGCCTCAGTTTGCCTGCTGCAAAATGGGCACATCAATAGGATGCCTCTCAGAGGCTGTGATGCTACTGAGCACGTAACTGCATGAGTATCACTGTGGGTGCCAAGGCAGGTCCCTCAATTTTTCTGGGATCCCACAGGCAGGACCTGGCCCCCCCTGATCCTCAAGGAGGCCTGTGTGCTGGTGGGGAGCAGGTTAGCAGAGTCTCGAGTGGGCTGAGCCTCAGGCCAGACTCTGCTCCAGGCAGCAGGACCCCTCCAGTCCACACACTGCATGGCTTTGCAAGGGGAATAGGGGCTTCTGGGTTTCAGCTCTGATTCGGCCCTTTGGTTGCATATTTTTGTTCAGGCCACAACCTGCCCAACTGTCCGTAGCAGCTGTAGGCAGAGGCCCCTAGGATTCCAGCTAACCATCCTGCCAAGACATTCCTGCCTTGTCCCTTCACTGCCCCTGTGTGCCCGACCCCTTAAAGTCCAGCTTGGCCATGAGCAGGCAGGACAGGGCTAGGGTCCCCGGCCAGGGTCAGCACATCTCTGGCGTCCCCCAGAGAGGAGAGCTTCTCTGGCTGCAGAGGGGGCAGCGGGCGGTGACCGCATTTGCGGTCGGCTTGGTGGTGCTGGCTGCGTTCAGAACAGCCACGCTAATGCCTCGGCAGCAGGGGGTCGATTGCTACTTTCTCCAAACTCATCAACACAATCTATTATTAATACTTCTCCAAAGGCTCGGTGCCGCCATTAGGAGGCAGCGCCAGCCACTCGGGGCGTCATCTGTTATCTAGATTGCAAAAACCCGGGAAATAAAACAAACGGCGCGCACTTTATAAACGGAATGCGCCATCCGTTTGGTCTCCAACCATCTCTGCACCCAATAAAACATCGGGGGGGATGCATGAAATACTTGCTCCCCGTTATGGGGCTGCCTTTGTGTACCATGCAGGGCGGGGTGAGCACTAACCGTGTGTAGGAGCAGCTGGGGCGCTGGCAGTTCCCCTCCTCTCCTTACTCCCTCCAGCTGTGGTGGGACCCTGGAACCAGCTGCGGAGAACGAGGCCAACCACGGACAGCAGCCTCCAGCATTAGGCTTGCGTCCCTCACTTGCAGCAAGGGATCCCCCTCTCCCAGCCTCAGCTTACTTATCTGTATGATGGGCTCAACTCCACCGTTTGCTTCTTAGCATATGGAGCAGGGAGTTGTGGCCAGCAGAGAGGACATGGCCTGAGCTTCTACCCTGGCTCTGTAATATATGTGCATGTGTGCACATGTGTGGTGTTGGGGATCAAGCTCAGGACCTTGTACATCATTAGACATGTGTTCTACCACTGAGCTACACCCCCTGGCTCCATAAGGCTCTTGCCATGTGACTTCAGGCAAGACATTTACCCGCTCTGTGCCTCAAATTCTTCTTCTATAAAATGGGAATGATGGAAGCGACATATAGAGTTGCAGGGAAGGAAGACTGGGTTCATTTAAAGCCCCTGGCAGTGAGCTGGCATGAGAGAGGGCTTCCACCACAATCAGCCCTTCCGCCCTCTTCTGCCCAGTGTGTCCAGAATGCCCATGGGGATCCTCCTTGCTGAGGCCTCCAGGGGTGACAGGTCCCACACGCGCCTCCTTCCCAGGACCACCTGGGCTGTGGGCTGCTCTTTAGCTTCTGGCTGGCCTGAGCTGACCCAGCCCCTGCCTTGTCTGTCTCCTTAGCCCTGCTGATCAGGCACTGAGCATGCCCAGCCAGCACAGCCTGCATCCCCCATTAGGGCCTCGCAGACCCATGAAGGAGGCCCCTGCCTGTGGCCCATTTTACAGAGGAGCACACTGAGAAGTGGAGGGCGCGTACTCGTTTAAGGTCACACACAGCCTCCTAGATCCTGCCCCTTGCCCTGTGGATGCTGGCGTACCCTGTGCCCTGGCCATGGTGCTGCCTCCATGGCATCTGCCCACCTCCACAACGGTGGATGCTCCCGGAAACCAAACCAAACATCCTCTACCTACACACGCACCTTTATCTTTCCCTCCTAGTGGGGTCCTCTGTGACTACAGAGTAGGAAATTCCATGTGTAGGGACATCCTTCCTTGAAGGGTCCCAAGCTGTGTGGATACATCTCTAGTGTCTCTCAGTTTTTATTGGTTTGCTTAAGTCTCGATTTATTAAACTCATAAGGCTAATGAACAGAACTCCGAAAACCAAATTTTTCAGGAGCATCTGAAGTCTGATGAATTTCTCCTAAATCACAGACAGCTGCAGAGAAGCTGGGACATGGCTGATTCTGCTGCTGCCCCTGAGGGTGGGTTCCTGATGCCCAAGGGTGCTCCAGCCTCTCCGCTCCAAGCAGGTCTCCCCGCAACATCTAGGAATCCAGCCAGTATGCACCAGGCTTGGAGTCCTGTATGTGTCACTTCCTAGACCTGGAACCTTGCCCAAGTCCCTTTTCCTTGTGAGCCTCGGTGATCCTGTCTTCCCGGTGAGAAGGACAGAGGTTGTCTGATAGGGCTATGTGCCTTGGTGGGCTGGGCTCAGGATATGGGAATCATGATTGCCACTATTTCCTCAAGATTCTTGGCACCTGCTTATCATCATCCTTACTGAGTGGAAGCTCCCTTACGACCTCCTCCGTGTGCTGCCATTTGCGTACTCCAGTGGCTGCACTTTACAGTTTGTACAGCCCTTTGCTGGGCTCTCACTCCATGTTCATCCTCCGCTCTCAGTGGGCCTCCTCCACCCCTGCGTACAAGCCTCAAGGTGACTCCCAGCCTCCTCTGCCTCCATAACCACAGCACCTCTCCTACTCACTGAGATACGTCACTCTCGTTTTGTAAAGGTTTAGGGAGGAGCACTCAGTGCGCAGTCCTATCTCCTGGCTATGGCGTGGAAATGTCCTCCAGGCTTCCCCATGCTCAGGGCTTGGGTGCCAGCCCGTGCTGCTGGGAGGGGCATGGAATGTCTAGGAGGTGGGTCCTCTGGGGAGGAAGTCAGGTTATTGGGGGCGTGGCCTTGATGGGCTATGGGGACCTTGCCTGTGCTTTCTCTTTTTGTCTCCTGACTGCTGTGAGGAACAGGTCACCTCTGCTGTGCACCTCTGCCACCACGTTCTGCCCTGACAGACCCAGAGCCAAAGGACCAACCATGGACAGAAACCTCTGGCACTGGGAGCTGTCCTCATCAGGTGACCATCCCAAGTATTTTGTCATAGTGACAGAGAGCTGACAAACACTCCAGTGATCTCCGATGTGCCTCCAAACCTCACT